AACAAACGTTACATTCATTAAGACGAATAAGATATTTCTTATACGAGATCTTCCTGTAACAAAAATTGCATCACGTTTTTCTTAATAAGCATATTTGTTTATTGAAATACACATTAATTTCTCAATCGACAAAAGAGTGAAACCATAGGATCTGAAACTTCTAGACGTTACGTTAAAAGAAAATCAGCTGTAAACGGAAATTCATATACCGATTTCTTTCTTTTTTTTGTTTATGGATTAAGAACCAAGACTTCATAATACATTTTTATAACTCATTCTGCATCATGTGGCATTAGGGGAAGAAACTTTTTATAAGTCTTATTATATTAAACGTTTCTTAAAAAAGGTTAAGAGAAAAATTACATGGTTTCTTTAGCTCATTATCATGATGTGTAAATAAGTCCACCATTTGGTAGATACGAGAAACCTAGCACTAGGTTTGAAGTTATTGTTTAATTCCTTTAAGCTCTGATACAAACATCACGAATTGGCGATGAGGCCAACTCGACGAGACGGTTTTATTCAAGACATTTTAACGTTGTTAGAGGGTAAACCAATAACTTTAGAGTGCCACCATCTTCATTAAAGAGCACAATATGTTTATAACCTACCATTACGTACCTATGTGTATGGTGGAAGAAAGGACAAAGCATATGGAAAGTATCTATAATTCTGGTCTAGGTGAAGACATATAACAATAAATACTAATTGATGTAATAACAAACACAATGTCATCTATATACCCAGGAGTTTAGTGACTTGCATAGAGAGTATTAGCCTTTGTAAACCATTTAGACATATACAGATCTACCATGCAACAAAATATCTAAATAAGCATTATTTTCCATACATCATGCCGAGAGCTGTTCTAAGCTGAACTAGAATTGTTAATATATTATCCTCAAATTCCAACATTAATTAATACTTTATTAAAAAACGGATGTCCCTGTGTAGTGGTAGAAACCGGTTTAACTCTGTTAAGTCTGACATGTCACGCGGTAGTCTGAACGGATGTTCCTGTGTAGTGGTAAAAACTAGTTTAAGTCTGTTAGGTCTGACATGTCACGCGGTAGTCTGGACGGATGTTCCTGTTTAGTGGTAGAAACCGGTTTAAGTCTGTTACGTCTGACATGTCACGCGGTAGTCTGAACGGATGTTCCTGTGTAGTGGTAAAAACTAGTTTAACTCTGTTAAGTCTGACATGTCACGCGGTAGTCTGCCAGGAGGAAAATTATGAATTTGTTTAAGCTCTTGAATAATCAATTCACTGTTCGTCCGTCTCGCAGCTTGTCGAAAGTGTAACACAACGTGAAATCATATTTTGACTTTACTATTTTGTATTTTCTTTGTTTTCTTGGCCTTTGACAACAAAACGGCTCGTGCTATCCCCACTGAGAGAGATCAAACCCGAATTTTTAGCGTTATAAGTTGGCATACTTACCTCTGTACCAACTGGTGATTATCTTAGTTTTGTTTGTTTGTAGGGTTATCTGTGTTATGCCCACCACGGGTATCGAAACTCGTGGGGGGGCAGTTATTTTATAGATATGGTCTTTGTATAATTAATTCACAATTGGCAAACAATACAGCTTTGTAATTGTGTTGCAGAACGTAAAATAATACATTATTTTAATTTTATAAAGAGACTGTATTCCAAATAAATAAAATTTTCTGTTTCTCAACAGTAGAAACCAATTTAACGGTTAAATGTTATGACAGGTATGCTAATTATTTGTTCTTATTTAACGTTAATTTTGATGTACAACACGCTTTCAGTAAATAAAGAGTTATGTACTTAATCATTTTCTTCTTCTTCTTCATCCCTTGCGAGTTATTCCTTGAGTTTTCACGCTTTCACTAGAGGACTAGTCTTTCCCGCCATCGTAACGCACGAGCGTCAGGCGACTTGTAACTTCATTAGTGTTTGTCCGTCTCTTTTCAATCCTGCTTCCCGAGCATCTGTTCTCAAATTTCACATTGATTTACTTTAGTTTATACCACAAGTTTCTTCAGTCTTCTACCGAGCTCAGGGGTGTCATTGCGGTGTTTAACACTCTTTGATGTTTGAACTGGGAGTCTGATTTCCTTCTAATACAAATATATGTAGTTGTTTAACAATAAATCTTTAATTTTTCCTTAATTAAAAATTAACTTGAACTTATTTTCTTTTTTATCAGACAACTTAATAACCAGAGATGGCACTAGATTCGGCTAATATTTATACTTGAATGCAAGATATCCTGTTGTATTCCTAGTTTGTTACAAAAATACAGTTTTTTTCCTGTTGAATGTGGGATACCTCCATCTGAATTCACATACTTTATGGATAGAACGTAAACAAGGAATAATTTGATAATCATCTTCTTTCCTAGATGGGTAGAAAAAGTGGGAGAGGGTTCTCAGCACCATACTGTAACTAGTGGAAATATCACATGTAGGATTTCAAATATATTGTTGTACTTGTTATCCACGATTCATTCAGATAAATTTATATATATATTCTGGAAATACGAGTCAATTCGTTCATATTTCTAGCTCAAGGGACACTGTCGATGTTACTGTGTTTAGTAATATACACCAGTATTTCATAATTATTATGTCGCACGTGTGTAAAGAAAATATTCAAAATGCAGATCTTAATGATTAAGTTTAACCGTCGCTAATTTTTAAAGTGGATTAGTATTTATGTACTGTTTAACTTTTTCTATCGTTGGATGGATTGTTTTGGATTTTTCGGTACTAAAAAAGACAAAGTCCATTCGACTCAAGGACTACTAACCTAACGTTCAACAAGTAATAAGCCTAACGTCATTCATTTACTTGCTCATTTGGACCGGCATGTCCAGGTGGTTAGGGCGCTCGACTCGCAATCTACGGGTAGCGAGTTCGAATCCCCGTCACACCAAACATGCTCACCCTTTCAGCCGTGGAGGCGTTATAATGTAACGGTCAATCCCACTATTCGTTGGTAAAAGAGTAGCCCAAGAGTTAGCGGTGGGTGGTGATGACTAGCTGCCTTCCCTCTAGTCTTACACTGCTAAATTAGGGACGGCTAGCGCAGATAGCCCTCGTGTAGCTTTGCGCGAAATTCAAAAACAAACAAACTTGCTCATTTCCTTAACTCTACGGAGCGTATCACGTATCTTTTGTTACTGCGTCGATAATACAGCCCAATATTTAATAAACTGAACTAACAAACTAATTAGTTAACAGTACCAGAACAACTTATTAAGAAACAACCTAATTCAGTAATTACCAACTATCTATTTTAGACTTGCTTGCGCTTTGTACTTTTTGAAGTGCTCTAATGTTTTCGAGAACGTTCCAAATGCTAAACCACACCAACAATGCTACTTCAAACTTCCTCTCTTCCAGTCAACAATATATACCTCTAAGAAGGTTTATATTAAAAAGAAATAGCCTACACCAGTACCTTTAGCGTCAAACTTCCTCTATTCCAGTCAACAATATATATATACCTCAAAGAAGGTTTATATTAAAAAGAAATAGCCTACACCAGTACCTTTAGCGTCAAACTTCCTCTATTCCAATCAACAATATATACCTCTAAGAAGGTTTATATTAAAAAGAAATAGCCTACACCAGTACCTTTAGCGTCAAACTTCCTCTTTTCCAGTCAACAATATATACCTCTAAGAAGGTTTATATTAAAAAGAAATAGCCTACACCAGTACCTTTAGCGTCAAACTTTCTCTCTTCCAGTCAACAATATATATACCTCTAAGAAGGTTTATATTAAAAAGAAATAGCCTACACCAGTACCTTTAGCGTCAAACTTATGAATTTCAAACTCCATTCTCTTCGTGAATGATTAAGTTTTGTTATCATCGCCAACTTCTAAAAAAATGTTGTATTGTTAGTGATAAATGTGGAAGCCTATTTATATTTTGAAATTCGAGAAAACCAAATATGAAAGTCAAACAAATTGAGCATCTTGTCAACCATGTGAAAAACCCTCCGTTGATTAAACTAGCATAGCGTGTTAAATGTAATAATTCATTTTGAACTTCAAGTTTCGTGTGATAACATTTTAACTATTTGTTGGAATAAAATAGAAAAGAAAATTCATCAGTTATTAATAAAGCTACATAAGTGGAGATGGTACATACTATATAAGAATAAAAAACACTCGTTTTTAAAGCTAGAAAACACCTGTCTAAAACTGGCCACGGAATGTACTTTAATCACCAACACCTTATTTCATCTCATAAGCCTAAGAAGTATTGCAGAACAAAACAGCGCTTATAAGCAATACTATTCTCTAGATCCTTGCAGCGTGTAGACCGTGCCTTCCATCATGGACAAATTTACCTTTTCAGTTAGAGCTTTTCTGTTCCACAACAACTATGAAGATACCAACAAGCAGGGCATTTCCTTAAAATGTGCTTCAGGAGACAACAACGTGTAGACAGGTTCTGTAGTCTATACACAGTTATCCTGAATTGATTTCACCACCAAATCTTAGACACCCCAATGTGTAATGAATATCTAAAGCCACCGTAGTCCGTGCAATTAGTCCGCCTAGACAGAAAACATATATCTTGGAGAGAAGGTACAGCAGTACCTATTCAAAGACCATAGTGGACAGTTGGATCTTACATCGCAAATAATGATAGAGTAGATTGAGTATTCATCACTTCGCGGATAAGCAGAATTCTCTTTAAGACTATTGAAGCATTTAAGCTTTCCATAAGCAACACAATAATGGAGCTGTAAGGCATAAGGCAGGTTTACCTCGAGTTGGCTGAAAGCAAAAAAACCTCAAAAACAGTGCCACCAGCACAATGTTAACTCGAAGACAGTACCGGATACTTGCAGAGTGATTAGTACACATAATTGTGACAGAAAGCAAATCAACAGCATGTTAAGACTATCACGTGCTAGGCCATGGAGAGATGAAGATAAACGAACAAGCTAACAAAGAAGCTCCTGTATCGAATGTCGCATAATTCTATTGGCACGGTATTGATCTACTGAAGAAACAGCAACAGCACGGTATTGATCTACAGAAGAAACAGCAACAGCACGGTATTGATCTACTGAAGAAACAACAACAGCACGGTATTAATCTACAGAAGAAACAGCAACAGCACGGTATTGATCTACTTGCTGTTGTTGTTTCTTCAGTAGATCAATACCGTTCTGTTGCTGTTTCTTCTGTAGATCAACACCGTGCTGTTGCTGTTTCTTCAGTAGATCAATACCGTGCTGTTGCTGTTTCTTCTGTAGATTAATACCGTGCTGCTGTTGTTTCTTCCGGTATTAATCTACCGAAGAAACAACAACAGCACGGTATTGATCTATTGAAGAAACAATAAGAGCACGATATTAATCTACCGAAGAAACAACAACAGCACGGTATTGATCTACCGAAGAAACAACAACAGCATGGTATTGATCTACCGAAGAAACAACAACAGCACGGTATTAATCTACCGAAGAAACAACAACAGCACGGTATTGATCTACCGAAGAAACAACAACAGCACGGTATTGATCTACCAAAGAAACAACAACATCACGGTATTGATCTACCGAAGAAACAACAACAGCACGGTATCAATCTACCGAAGAAACAACAACAGCACGGTAATGATCTACCGAAGAAACAACAACAGCACAGTATCAATCTACCAAAGAAACAACAACAGCACGGTATCAACTACCGAAGAAACAACAACAGCACGGTATCAATCTACCAAAGAAACAGCACGGTATTAATCTGCCGAAGAAAGAGCAACAGCACGATATTAATCTACCGAAGAAACAACAACAGCACGGCATTGATCTACCGAAGAAACAGCAACAGAACGGTATTGATTTACAGAAGAAACAGCAACAGCACGGTATTGATCTACCGAATAAACAACAACAGCACAGTATTGATCTACCGAAGAAACAACAACAGCACGGTATCAATCTACCGAAGAAACAACAACAGCACTGTATCAATCTACCGAAGAAACAGCACGGTATTGATCTACAGAAGAAACAACAACAGCACGGTATTATTCTACCGAAGAAACAGCACGGTATTTATCTACAGAAGAAACAACAGCAGCACGGTATTGATCTACCGAAGAAACAGCAATAGCACGGTATGAATCTACCGAAGAAACAACAACAGCACGGTATTGATCTACCGAAGGAACAACAACAGAACGGTATTGATTTACAGAAGAAACAGCAACAGCACGGTATTGATCTACCGAAGGAACAACAACAGAACGGTATTGATTTACAGAAGAAACAGCAACAGCACGGTATTGATCTACCGAATAAACAACAACTGCACGGTATTGATCTACCGAAGAAACAACAACAGCACGGTATTGATCTACCGAAGGAACAACAACGCACGGTATTGATCTACCGAAGAAACAACAACAGCACGGTATTGATCTACAGAAGAAACAACAACAGCACGGTATTTATCTACCAAAGAAACAACAACAGCACGGTATTTATCTACCGAAGAAACAACAACACGTTTCTTTAGCTACATTCTAATGGAATGGGGAAAAATACCGTATGATGTAGCTGTAAATAAGAGGCAATCATTAGGGCAGTATGCAGCCAGAAAGCCAATTTCTTCTGCATCTTATGAACCAGCCGGCTGGACATGAGTGGTCAGAACCTGTCGGTGTAACCCTTGAACTATCATTCCAGCAGTGCTAAGATGAAGTGATGGCAATCATTTTGTATTTCAGTTTAATGATGTATGCGAGTGTCTGTAAATACATAGCGATATTATATTTATTCGTTTAATAACGAACCAAAAAATGTGACGTCTAAATGGAACTATGTTCTCAAGTAATGGGTAACTAAGTTAATTTAATAATTGGAGAAAAAAAACCCATTAAAGATGAGTCAAAACAAATTATTTTTTTATTTCATCTTTAGAATATAAGATTGTCACTAATTCTTCAATTTAAATACAATATTTTCTACTCAGTTCTAGATACTAGAAACGTTAGTGGGAGATGTTCTTGGTAAAATATAGCATTAAAACATGTCCATGATAGTAAACAAGAAAAACCATAATGCAGTAATAAAAATACACCGCCGATACAAAGAAAGACGGCCACGTGCTATAACTGCATAAGTTGCTGGGTTATTACGTATCAAAAAAATAATATATATATATATATATATAAATTCTAAATATACTTTCTCTGAAGTGTGCAACGAAAACACGTTCTCAACGAATAAACGAATTAGATATCTTATCATATTATGATTCAGTTCTTAAATTGTATCCATTTTATGAATAAGTTACTGCTCCTATTAAGTTTAGCGTCTGCATAAGATAACTTACATAACATTAATTGTTGAAATGATAAACGTACTGTACTTTAAATTACAAGCGTATGCCCAAGAGAAAGAGACCTAAGACTAAAATTGAGAACAATGCATTGAAACGTATTGTTAATTGTTAATTTAGAGTAAATTGAGTTAGAAATATTAAGTTACCCTTGGGTAGATCCAAGCTAGAGAACACACAGATTACTTTAGATATTTAGATATACTTTACTGTGTATTGAGTATAACATTCATAATAAGTAATTTGTATATTATACACTGCAGTCATGGAAGTGATTGAAACACACAAAGAAGTAAAGTAAACACATGATTATATAAAATAAATTGATTTTATAATGTTTATTGTAATTCGCCTTTAGAATTACGTTTAAAACAAACTTGGATTACGCTACTATTAATAGTGAACGTATGATGCAGTGTGGTGCAAATGAAATACATTTTAAGGCAGAAACCACAAACAATTTGGACTTTATAACATGCTAGCCGAATTACCAGTTCCCTGCACAGGTGTCCAACATACTTTAAATAAGTATTTAAGTACATAAAGGAATTTCTTTTAAGAACATATTTTTAAAAAAATCAATTTTTCACCTAAAACTTTGATTTTCAAACC